TGTGGTAAATTGTGGTCAATGTCATGAGACAAAGTATGTGAACTGTTATATGGAAAGTGAATTTGCTCTGTAAATTTTCACCCAAATCACAAAAATAAATTAATTAAATTTAAAAAAAAAAGAAGAAGAAGAATTAGCAGCGCAGGGTTTTGAATATTGAAAATAAGTCTCAGGAAACATTTGACCATTGTGCATGCTGCCTCCCTCTGTGCCATACTGGGCTTTGTGGCTGAGTGCCAGGTAACCTGACCTCACTGCTGCTTTTGGCCTTCTTCCTGGGGAGCAGCCGTGTGGTGTGCTGATGGCTCCTGCCCCTCCCTGCTGATCACCATGTCCTGTCATTGCTAGCTGGCCCCACTGTCTGCTGCTGACTGTTGCCAGGAACTGACAGCTGATCTTTGCAAATTTTCGTGGTACCTTTAGCCTACCTGCTTCTTGTGTTAATAGAATACCTTTATTCTCCTTTGTGGTGTATCAAATAATTGCAATTCGGGTTCACCCATTGTCCTTCCATCATCCACCTTATACCCAGCCTGACTGACTCAGCACCACTCTGCCTTGCTCTTGGGCAGCAGGAATACAGCACAGGGGTGGGTGAGACCAACAGAGACACTCACAGAATGGGTCCTTCCAGTATGGGGTAACAGTATGGAGAGGAGCTATTGTTCTAAGCAGCTGACATGCCAAGGGGTGTTGCAGGAGTTGCTCATTAGGTCCCTGAGAAGTCTTTGCACCTGTTTATAATAACGTCTATCTTAGTTTTACAGTGTTCTCTCTTACATCAAGCATTGTGTCCTTTATATGGTAGTTGCTCAGTAAGCATTCGGTGAATGGATGATTGACTGAATCATTTTTTGGTTCCTTGAATTAATTGGTATCCTGAGAGTCCTTGGGGATGTCCTCTTTCCCTGCTACAGCTGGGATTTTATTTCCTCCACCGGGATCTTCCCTCCAGAAAGTCTGGGCTCGGGCTCTGGCTCTGACTCACTCTTTCTCTCTCTCTCTCCCCAGCATCAGTCCAGGGAGTGGCCAGTGGTGACAAGGAGCATTCTTATAGGTGGTGTAGATGGTATTAGGTTCCATGGTTTTAGTACAGCATTATTCTTTAGGGAAATTTTGAATATTTCAGCATTGAGAGTCAACATGGGACCCTAGTCACCATGTATGATATTCATGTAGGAACGTGCATTCCGAGTCCTAAATAGGTTTTAGGGCAATCCATTCAGAGCTAGATATGTTTGGGAAGCTCATATTATTCAAGCAGATGCAATAGAAACGGCTCCACATCTTTTCTCACAACCGAGGATCTTTTCTTGACTTTGTTGTTTTATCAAAATGCTGGATTGAAAATATGTTTAGGGAAATTGATACTAGCTCTAGATTTCCAATAAAATGTTCTTTAGAAGTTTGGGTTTCTAAGTGGTCCATCACAGCAGTATCAGGGCCAGGTTGCACATTAAGTGGTTTTCCTTTTTGTGACCTTTGACAGATGTGTCATCACCACACCAGCGAGCCTCTACCAAGATGAAACCGATAGAAGAAGGGGTGGAAGATGACGATGAGGTCTTTGAACCGGAGTCTCCAAACACGTTTAAAGTACATCGATTGCCTTGATCAGAGAGAGAATTCACATTACCAAGATGGAAATTGTCTTGAAGAGATCCTGAAAAATACCAGCACTTTTTCATGGCTTTTAGATTATTCTGCTTTAGTACATCCCAACTGGTAGAGTCTGAGGGCAACAGAGTGGGAAGGTCAAAGATGGGAAGGTTTATTTTTCCTGTCCTTTTTATTGGTCAACTTTTTAAGTAATGATTTTACTGATCCTTCTGGCTAAACCTAGTTCTATTTTGATATATATATTTTCACAGTATTTTCTAGATATATTATCATTTTAACATAAAAAATCTTAGTGCTCTTAATGTCCACACCTTTCACTTATTTTTCCAAGCTGTGGTTCTTTCTCCTCACACATATATTGTTCCATTCACTGCCATGGTGATGGTGTTGTCCATTTAATAGATTTGCCAAGCAATGTAAGTTTGCAATTGAAGTTTAGGTAACTTTAAAAAGCAGGGAATCTCAGGCTTTCTTCAATTGATTTTTTTTTTTTTTAATGGAGAATTTTAGATAAAGAAGTGATTTGACTATTTTTATTTTTCTCTCAGACCAGATGCATTATTCCACTAGATCACCTTACGGGCATTCTGCAGATTGCTTGATAATGAAAAAAACTCATTAGACCTTACTCACATTACCTTTATATTATTCCATTTATAAACTGGTCTGAAACATGAAGCTGGAAAGATAGCAAATGGCAGCAAATCTGAGTTTGGTGTCGACCTTCATCTAAACCCAACTTACCTGTGATTTTGTGGGAAACATTTTATTTGAAATAGGACTGGAGAACCAAGTGGCTGAGCAAAAGTGAGTGACTTACCCTTGTTTCTAAGATTATTAAGATCTAGTAGTTGTGTTAAACTCTCTTTCTGTTTCCAAGTGCACATGTATAAAACCCAAACCCATTTTCATCAAGTTGATTCCAATGCATAACGACCCTGTAGGACAGAGTAGAACTGCCCCATAGGGATTCCAAGGCTGTAAATCTTTAAAAAAACAGACTGCCACGTAGCAGCTGGTGGGTTCAAACCAGCAGCCAGATGCTTTAACCACTGCACCACCAGGACTCCTTGCACATATATAGCTATAATGTAATCATGAATACTGATCTCCCTTCACCATTGCAATATGAACATGTAGCTATTTAGTTTACAGATGCCTAAGACTAATTTAACAAATCATGCTATAGGATAATTAAATATTACATCTGTCTGTTCCTGATTAGACAGTAATTTTAGAATCTGCTGGGGTCACATTTTTAATGTTCTGTGGGTCCATAGAAGGCAACGGAGTTCTCTTACTCTGGGCTACCTTAGGATCCTTTCATTTCATCAGCCCCTGAGCAGTAAGCCTCATCTCTAATGACCAACTTGGGCATGTTTGCAAGTTATATTCTGAAGTGCTGGGAACAAACCGGTCTTAAAAGCACACTGTTAAAATTCAGTAATAGAAAATCATTCACTGTGTATTAAAATGTATATGTGGATCATTGAAGATTGCAGTCTCAAGATTAGGAATCTTAAAAGAAGCACTTTGCCTGAAGGGGAAACATGAAACTGTTTTTAAATGCACACACACCTCTAAGGGAGACAATGAACCTAGGGGAAAAGGAGCCACAAACCACTGAGGAGACCTCCCACACGGATGTGATAGCAAAAGAATAGATAAGGAAACTGAAAAGAGTGTTAAGTGTCACATCTCCTATGGATGACTTAAAATTCATGCATACATATGAACAGGAATAGCTTTGTGTAACACAGAAACACTTAGAAAACATTTTTCCTGACTCTTCCTGTGTTTTTTTGGCATCCACTTAGCTGTGTGATCAAGGTTTAGAAAATTATCTGCAAAAACTATCTTTTGTAACCCAGATTTACTACATCAAGTCAATTGTGGTATCTTGAGTAGAACATTTCTAATGTTTGTCACTTATAATAGTTTGAAAGCACTCATAAATATTTACTTTTTAAAAATAATAGCATACTAAATATGTCCTCAACATTATTTATCTTAAATTAGTAATAATGGGTGCTATACAGTTCTTTTTCATCCATCATACTTTACTTTCTGGAATCTTTCCTGTTTCTCTGTGTCAGGGATACCTTACTTTGATCACTGGACACCTATGTGCTTTGCTGTCAACAGGCTGTGTACTAGGAGACAGCTCTTTGTGTCTCATTCTCTTTTTACATGTCTGAAGCTTTTTTTGATCTTATGACCTAGAGCTGTCAACTCCTCTCCCAGGCCCCATCATGGTCCCCAAAATAGTCACTTGGATGCTGGTAAAACCTGTAGGAAAGCTGATGTATGCTATACACTTCATGCTGATCCCAGTGCAGCCAGGTAGGGACTTCACCCTCTGTTGAAGATTTCATGCTAGTGTATAGTGGCTCCTGCCCAGGTACTTGGGCCTGAAGGTCAGTCTCTCCCTGGAGGGCTTGGTGCCCTCCCTGCACCAAAGATCGACCTTGTTTTTCCCTCCATTTCCTTGGTCATTCCTGAAACTGCTCTGCAGAAACCTCTGCCTCTGCCCTGCCTTCATTTCTCTCCCTTCCCTCTTCCCAACTCTGGATTCCCAACCTCTTTATCTCATTATTCCCAATCAGAATGATTAGAAATTTCCACCTATTCATTCAAATTCCTGAGGATTTGGAATGGTTGGATGCTGTGTAAGGAACTAGGGGTTGAGGCATCGTTACTCTGCACAGGTTGTGCTCATCATGGGGTGATACTTTTTCTCACTGACAGAAGCTATGTTTTGATTATCACAGCACCCCCAAAATACCCTGTGTATAATGATATAGTGTGTCATAAATTTAAGAAACCTGCTTTTAACTACTATTTACAGATTTTCCTGTTATACTTACAACTTAGTTTTAAAGTACATGAAGATTTTATGACTGCTTTATAAAGACATTTATAGGAACCTCATTCTTTCTGATTTTAGGTGCCATTTACATTGACAACATTTACTTTATAATAAGATACATTTTGTCCAAATAGAGCCTTATAGTTTAAAATATCTTCATATATTGTCATTTGGTCAAATAAATTTCTTACTTAGAAAATGTGCTCATTTTTTTATTTCATTCCTCTAGTTGATTTGCTGTAACTCCATGTCTGAAGATCCAGAGAAAGGAAAATCTATAATGTAAGGTTCATATGAATGAGGTAGGGAGTGGGATGGAGGCATTTACCTGCCATAGGTAGTGGATGAGACTGCTCCTGACTCGGAGGGACAGGGGATGGGGCTCATGGACTGCTGGTACAGAAAAGGGGTTTGTTGTCAAGCTCTCTTCTCATTCTTGGAGAACTAGGAGCCTTTACAGGTAAATTCCTTTTACCCCACTCAGTCTGGGACCACCCTGACCAATGGAGAGGGCAGAAGCCAGGATTGGGGGGGGGGGGTCTAAGATCAATTTGCAAACAAAAGTTGCCAACAGGCCAGTAGGAATCCCAGTAAGTTACACTTTCTTTAGGCTAGGAAAAACCATGCTAAACAAAGATATGGTCTACCACTCATTTTCCACCTCTTTTAACTTTTTGTTAAACATTTATTGTGTGTGTGTGTGTGTGTGTGTGTAGGTAGGTAGGTGGGTAGGTAGATGATAAATATTCTACTGTATAACACTTGGGAAAATGAGATAATGTACGATAAAAATATTCACCATCCAAAGATAAATACTATTTTATTTAGTTGGCTATTGGTTCAAACCCACCAGCCACTCCTCAGAAGGAAGATTGGGCAATCTACTTCTGTAGTGATACCATCTTGGAAAACCAAGGAAGGGTCACTATGAGTTGGATCCTACTCAATGGCAGTGAGTTTGGTTGTTTTTCGTTTTCATATCCTTAACTTTATAAAAATGAAACTTATTTGGTTTGGTAACTTGCTATTCTCTCTGTAAGTCACTGGTATTTTCACATGCACTAAATGCTTTTCTGAAATCTCATGTTTAATGACTGCAAAGTATATTCCACTATATGGATGTGTGACATTATATATCTATTCCCCTATTAAATGGTTAAGTGGTTTCCAGTTTTTCAGTATTACATATAATGCTGAAATGAAGATTTTAAATTGAACATAAGTGTTTGGTGCTATCTCTGGTTACTTTTTAAAGATAAATGCCTGGAAGTGAAATTGTTGGGTCAAAGGGTAAGGGCACTTTAAAAGATTTTGTTCCACGTTACCAAAGCACATACTTGGAATAATAACTGCAATTAAATTTACTTCCTAAACATGAATCAAGCAAAATACCAAATAAAAAAGTGGAAAAGAAATCTACATAGCATTCTGCTATACCTTCACAACAAAGCAGTGGTTCTCAAAGGGTGGTCGGCAGACCCCTAAAGTGCCTGAGACCCCTTCAGGGGTGAGGTCAAAACTATTTTCACAATAATTGTTGTTTTAGGTGTGACTCATACCAGCCTGTGTACAACAGAATAAAACACTGTCCAGTCTCACAGTTGTTGCTATGCTTGAGCCCATTGTTGCAGCCACTGTCAATCAATCTTGTTGAGGGTCTTCCTCTTTTCCACTGACCCTTGACTTTACCAAGCATCATGTCCGTCTCCAGGGACTGGTCCCTCCTGATAGCATGTCCAAAATATGTTAAATGGAGTCTTGCCATCCTCGCTTCTAAGGAACATTCTGGCTGTACTACTTCCAAGACAGATTGTTCATTCTCTGCCCTTCTTACTGTGTTGACATGTGCACTGATATGCAAAAGCAATGATGGATAAAACTGTTGGCGCCTCAGCACAGAGATAGAAGGTGCTGTCAATTTCAACTCATAGTGACCCCATATAACAGAGTATAACTGCTCATAGAGTTTTCTAGGCTAAAATTTTTATGGAACAGATCCCCAGTTCGTTCTTTTGCAGAGCCATTGGTGGGTTGGAATCACCAACTTTTCAGTTAGCAGCTGAGCACTTTACTATTGTGCCACCAGGGCTCTTTGCACCAGCTGTACTAGTGGTTATTGTGTTCT